CCCAAAACTGTACTAGTGACTTCTATTAGTTCACAGAAAAGATGCTGCTGCATTTTAACATTATCTGTACACTTTTTTTTTTTTTCCAGAAGTCCAGATAAAGGAAATTAAGAATTTAGCAAACAGGCAATCAAGGACAGAAGGCCTCAGCAAGAAAAACACTCAACACATGCTTAAAACTGTTCAGGTGATCACAGCGACACTGATAAGGCCATTCACAGGCTTAAAGTTAGGCTAGTCCTTAAGTGCTTTATTGGATCAGAGCCCCAGAGTACACGAAGATTAGCAGAACACTGGCTTGGATGAATCATATCAGCATATGCAAAATATTCAGGCACATTAAGAAACAGGGCAACATTTTCTCCTTAACACAGCCTACGTACATAATGGATTTGAACTTCTATGTCAACTGTAGTTGTTCAGATCAGAAGATATTTGTGACGGAGTTATTAACTATTAAAATACGAGTGCAACTGCTACAGACAATAAATGCCTGTATCCTCTTTTTGTCACCAAACTGCCTGAGCAGCACAGGAATAGTTCAGCACAGAAGGAAGCGCCAGAGAAACCAAGTTAATGAAGTTTCACCAGTATGAACCATTTGGATTCCCACCACCTCCAAGTGGCCAGCAATCTGCCTGAGTGGCAGAATAAACTGAACTATATTAGAGGCACATAAATGGCTACAACTTCCATTGAGGAGGCTAACAAAAACACTAACAGAAACAAACCTCCTGCACGTTAACTACGTTCAGATCTGAACATACTTTATTTAAATAGCATAAAGTAGCTGGTACCATTAAAAAACCCAAACATTCAGGTACAACTGTGGGAAAATTAAGTATTGGGAACTGGTTAGGAATCATAGAACCACAGAACACTTTGGGCTGGAAGAGACCTTTAAAGGTCATCTAGTCCAACCCCCTGCAGTGAGCAGGGACATCTTTAGCTAGATCAGGTTGCTCAGAGCCCTGTACAACCCGACCTTGAATGTTTCCAGGGATGGGTCATCTACCACCTCTCTGGGCAGCCTGTGCCAGTGTTTCACCACCCTAATCATAAAAAATTTCTTCCTTATATCTACTCTAAATCTACCCTCCTTTAGTTTGAAAGGCCCTACTAGAAAGATTACCCCCATCTTTCATGTAGGCCCCTTTTAAGTACTGAACGGCTGCACTAAGGTCTCCCTGGAGCCTTCTCTTCTCCAGGCTGAACAACCCCAACTCTCTCAGCCTGTCCTCATAGGGGAGGTGCTCCAGCCCCCTGATCACCTTCATGGCCCTCCTCTCTCAAGCGGGTCCATGTCTGTGTTGTGTTGAGGACTCCAGAGCTGGACACAGCACTGCAGATGGGGTCTCACCAGAGCGGAGTAGAAGGGGAGAATCACCTCCCTTGACCTGCTGGCCACACTGCTTTCGATGCAGCCCAGGATATGGTTGGCCTTCTGGGCTGTGAGCGCACATTGTCAGCTCATGTCCAGCTTTCCATCCACCAGTACGCCAAAGTCCTTCTCAGCAGGGCTGCTCTCAACCCTTCCATCCCCAAGCCCATATTGATACTGGGGGTTGACCCACCCCAAGTGCAGGACCTTGCACTTAGTCTTGTGGAACCTCATGAGGTTCACACGGGCCCACTTCTCAAGCTTCTCCAGGTTCCTCTGGATGGCATCCCGTCCCTCAGGTATATCAACCACACCACTCAGCTTGGTGTCATCGGCAAAATTGCTAAGGGTGCACTCAATCCTCCCGTCTATGTCACTGATGAAGATATTGAAGAGCACTGGTCCCAGCACAGAGCCCTGAGGGACATCACTTGTTACCAATCACCAGGGACTTCACCTGACTGCCATGACTTTTCAAGTATCGTGGCAAGTGGCTTCGCAACTACATCAGCCAATTCCCTCAAGACTCTGGGATGCATCTCATCAGGTCTCATACACTTACGTAAGTTCAGGTTCCTCAGGTGGTCACAAATCTGATCTTCTCTTACAGTGGGAGAGACTTTGCTCCCCCAGTCCCTGTCTTCTGGCCCATC